CACATTGGGGGTGTAGCTCATACGGTAGAGCGCTCGCTTTGCATGCGAGAGGCACGGGGTTCGATTCCCCGCACCTCCAATTTTTTGGCTTTTCATTGCCAACAATGCGTTTCCATGCGTATCATATTATTTAAAGAGCTCACCGCCAATAATATCATCTCTGCTAACTTTGTGTGATGGTTTTGGTTCCGGTTCGATGTTCGGGTTTGGGCCCGCAAGATTCGATTTGGAGTCTGAGCCTCTAAAAACGTAGCCGTAATTTAGGGTTTTATCCCGCTGCTTCATCCCTACCGCCGAGGAGGAAGCAAAAGCAAACGAGCGCGGATAAAAAGAGAGCGCAAACCCGAAAGGCGTAGGGTGGGGGGGAAACATTGCGTCGAGCAGCTGAAGGATACGACCACCGATGGCGCTTCTGCGGCCGGTTTCGCCTCTCCATCTCCGCGTCCTCTTCGTCCACCGCCTCTTCTCCTCTTTCTCCGCCGCCCGCACTCGCCCCCCTCCCCCTCTCTCCTTCTCGCCCTTCCCCCCTTTTCGCCCCCGCCCTCGCCTGCTTTTTACTCCGAGGTCGTCCCTTTTCCTTCTTCTTCCGTTTCTTTCTCGTTCTCGGAGTGTTTTGATCAAGGATCGGTTCTTTTTTGCTTTCTCGGTAGGACTTTGGCTGTCCAAGCTCCGAGGATCGAGTTGGGGGTGAGGGCTTTCAAGTCGTCGAGCGTGGCTTCCGAGAAGCTTCAGGAGAAAGCTAACCAAACCTACGGTTCCGAGCAGATTCAGGTGATTCCTGCTCCGTTAAACGCCACCATTTTTGTGCTTTCTTTTCTTTTTTTGGCTCAGCTGTTGTTTTCGCTTTGCGAGTGGGTTTTAGGAGTTTCCACTTGTTCGAGGGTTGTAAATGGCTCTTTCTTGCTTCGAGAACGGGCATCCTAACGCAAAACATTGGTCCGTGTTGGATATGGTGATAAGATTATTTGAAGACATGCGAACTTTGAGCAGATTGAAAATGATAATCGTTCGCACGCACTTTTATGCCTAAAGGAAGTGGTGGACATAGTTTCATTTGACCTAGCGTTTGATGAGGAAAATGCCTTGTTGGTGCACTTGTAATGACTTTTTGACGTTGAATGTTAGAAGAAACATGAAGCACAAGTAAATGCAATTAAAGTTCCGGTGATTATTTTCCAACACGAATAATTAGGTAATTAGGTGGCTGTTTTCCGACTGCTGCACTACCATACTATGTGCTTTTTGTTCTGTGATATATGTGGCTAACCTGATATGAATGTAACCTGGTTGCCATTCACATAATGCTTGTTTGGTCATTTCATCTAGTGATGGGAGATGCAACAATTTTGTGTTGTGTGTTGTATGCCAGGTTTTGGAAGGCCTTGATCCTGTCAGGAAGAGACCTGGAATGTACATCGGGAGCACAGGACCCCGTGGTTTACATCATCTGGTAGCCCAATTCTGATTTATTTGTATTTTCTGATGATATGTTTGGTCTTTGTTTTGTTCCTGATTTTATTTCACTTTACCTTTCCTGTCCTTCTACCTAGGTGTATGAAATATTGGACAACTCCATTGATGAAGCGCAAGCAGGATATGCAACAAAGATAGACGTAATTTTGCACGAAGATAATTCTGTGAGCATTACTGATAATGGAAGAGGGGTATGAATTTCTTTCATAATATTATTTTATGAAGGCAATGTAAGGTTTTTTCCCCCCTTTAGTTATTAATATTGGCAAAAAATGCAATCTTTTTCTGAATGAAGTGTCCCATCAAAGGTTTATCAGTTGTCTGAATGAGTGAACTTCATTCAAGATTAGATGCAAAAGAAGAGGAGAATGAAATCAAATCCTTCATAAACTGATGATGGTGTCTAATAGAAATGATGATTCTGTAGAAAACAAGTGTTAGTAACACGTCCCATTTTACAAATTTACCTGAAACACTCGCTGATTACTTAATCGGACATGTACGTTTCTGACCACATTCGAGGGGCAGTATGAAATGAAATATATACTTAGTTATTATCCTCTTTTGCTAATAGCCAACTTATTATTAATGTCACCATCATTTTCTCAGTCAATGTTCCTTGATAAGCATGTTTTTGTTCTGTGCAGATTCCTACGGACATACATCCTGTCACAAAAAAATCCTCTTTGGAGACTGTTTTGACGGTATTCTTGCTCACATTTTCTCTCTTTCTTCCAAGGGACAAAGGAAAACTCATATGTAACTTACAATGACTCTATAATTATATCTTCATTGTTAGTGGACTATTTTGAACATTTAAAATAATGCCTTAAGTTGATTAGCATGGGTACTATCATGTACATAGGGTGCATGTCAATACCTTGGTTTTTGTTTCTTCACAAAAAATATTGAGTTCATTATTTTGTCAATTTTCTAGAATTTTAATGTCTTAATTACAAAAACTTGTAGGTCTTGCATGCAGGAGGCAAATTTGGTGGTTCAAGCAGTGGATACAGTGTCTCTGGGGGGCTACATGGTGTTGGTTTATCTGTTGTCAATGCCTTATCTGAGGTACCCATACTCCCATCCTGTTAACTTTATACTATTTGCTGTAATTTCTCCCTATGGTTATTAGGATTCACAATATGTTTGCTTTATTCTTTTGTAGTGGTGCAAATACTGCAATGTTTGTTTATTAAAGGACATGAAAATTTTCGCAAAATATATCAGTACAAAGGTTTCTTGGTGATGGTTTGTCTTCAATTCTGTAATTTTGACTGTCTATTTCTACAACCCAAGAAACACTTACATAGTTCAGTTGACTAATAGGGTGATATCCATGTGATGTGGTCATGCTTCTTAGTCTTAAACATGTTCATCACACACTATCTTGCTTTTGATATGTTGAGTTTTGCATCTATGAGGAGCTACATAGCTGGCATTATTATCGGATTTTGTTACAAACTCCGTTAATGCCACTTATGATTTTATCTTCTCTGTTCAAGTAGCTTTGATTTGCGATCCTCTCTATTAATAGTTTCAACTTTCAAATAGCCTTTAAGTTGTGATGTGCTTTCTTAAACGACTCAGCCAATTAGATATTTTACAACACCTCTATGTGCTATATTTCACAATATGATAAATGGGGTTTTTTCAATTTTGAGTACAGTTTAGTCAAGTTTGTGTTGTCTTTGTGTAGGCACTAGAAATAACAGTATGGCGTGATGGAAAGGAATACCGGCAAAATTATTCACGTGGAAAGCCAGTGACAACTCTGACATGCAAATCATTGCCAGTTGAAGTTACTCAGAAGGGAACATGCATAAGGTTTTGGCCCGATAGAGATGGTATGCTTCTTCTTTGTTTTCTTCTCATTCCAAAGTGGCAACTCACAATTGATGACTTTACTGTTGTATATGTCGTTTATCTTATGTATTTTTTTTTTCATTTTGAACATAGTGTTCACTACTTCCATCATTTATGACTTTAACACAATTGCTGGACGAGTTCGGGAGCTTGCTTTCTTGAATCCTGAGGTATAAATTCTCCAACATTTTTCAGCAACACATTTTGTCATATATGAATTTCTTTATTGTCCTTGACATTTAAGCTAGTCTTCATTGTAAACAGAAGTTGACTAACTCGAACATCAATAAATTTTCAGCACCCAAACTTAGTTGCTTCAAGCACCAATGTCTTAGCTTGGGCTGGTCACTCCTGTATTTGCTTGTGCATGTTCATGTGTGAGGAAATGAGAGATGGGAGTTGTTTTCTTACACCAGCAGAACCTGCTACAACTTGTCCACTAATACAGTGTCAATTCAATTGGTAATGCAATTCTTTAGATATATTTGTTTTACATAAGAGCAACCATGTTGGATTTGCCATGGGAAATGAGTGATTACTATTTTTGAGCTTGGTGAAACCTAAGTTTTATTATCTTATACGTGGTACGATATAAAGTAAAACATGGGCCTAGTCTTCACTGTGCCCATTGCACTTCATCTGTGTACCATTTAGCCTGTCAAAGCTTTGTTACATTGTGCATAGTACTTTCTGGGACTGCTGAAAAGTCATCACAAATGCCTCTCTATGCCAAAATGTATACAGGTTTTCTTGGTGCACTGGGATCTCTATTGTGTTGATTGATGTGAATGTGGCCCATAGTTGCATTATTTCTGCCGTATTTTTGTTTGTAATTACCAAAAACCACATGCATTGGCAATTTGGCACTTTAGTTGTGCGGGTATGCTAAGTTTTGCAGTGGTTATGTGGGCTCTACATTGTGATCTCAAGTAGGGTCCATTCATATGTGCACCATATTGGGCACCTTGAAGGTGCCAGGTGAGTACAATGTTGTGCCTCTGATCATCATTGTATCCTGTTTACTTGATTCTGCTAATTATTGATGTTTTTATTAAGTGATAAGAGTAATCATTTCCACGTGTGATATAAAGTTCAAATACCTGCATGAACATATTAATCATTTTCTTGTACTGTATTAATTGCAGCTTACTATTGCTTTGAAAAAGGAGGGTGACTCAAAAGAACAATACAATGAGTATTGCTACGCGGGTGGCTTGATTGAGTATGTTAAATGGTTAAATACTGATAAGGTTTGTACTTTTTACCTTATGAAGTACAATTTATGAATACTTATTTTCCCAGGGCATTCATGCAATGTATTGACAGTGTTCTCCCTCATATTCTATCTTTCCTTTAGAGTAGGATATCTGAATGTGCCTTTTTTGTGTGAATGTATGTCAAGAACTCTAGCTTTCCATTGTAATACTAAAAGAAAGGTATGTTAATTTTCCTAGTTCGTTTCTAACATTTTGCATATACAAATAAATATCCATTTAATAAGAATTCAATTTTATTAGATGTTGTTTTGATATAATCCTAGAAGTGGCTTATTATTCTGTTGAAGTGTCTTTCCTGGTCCATCACATAAAGAGCATCCTTTTTCAGGGGTCTAGATAATTAGGACTACAAGCCCAAAAAAATTTAGGAAGTTATTTGAGGAAGTTTAGATGAATTTCTGGTTTCAGTAGGTAAGACCAAACAATGAATTATCAATTTTGTGATCACTTGGAGAGAACCAGTTACAAGTAGTAAAACTGTTCATGGTGCTGGGTGAGAAATATATATTATGTTGCTGTTAGAGGTAGAAGGATCGGGAAAGATATTGTAGATACAGTGGGCCAAGACAAATGGTCCACACCTTAATGTAGTATGTAGACCTTGCTGCATCTCAACAGAGGATAAATTAACTCACCAAACTTATGTAGTTGCTTATGAGTTATGACTGTTATTGCGGTTATGAGCTTAACAAGGATATCTTTACCACTTGCATGTATGATTGGCTCATTTCTCTTTCCCTCTGTTGTTGGCTCAGCCCTGCAGGGGATGTCAAGCACACTGTAGAATCGATGGGGCCACATAATTCCCTATTTTCTATCATATGCTAATATTCCTTTTCTGACTTCTTCTTGTTCTTAATTTTAACATTGATTGTCTTGTTTTCATTTGTATAGTTGAGTTGAGTGAGAGGGGGATGGGGGAGGGGGGATGAAATGAACTTGTTGATTCATGTCATTTCTGTAACTTTTAGTTACCTGGTCATTGAAAATCTGTTTCCACAGCAATCCCTTTAATATATATGCTGAAATTTCATCATTTTCTGCAGAAACCAATTCATGACACTGTTGCTTTCAGAAAAGAAACAGATGGAGTCACAGTTGATGTAGCCCTTCAATGGTAAAGTACTTTCTTTCTTGCATACTGCTATATCAAGATTAAAGTCTTTAATCTCCTTTGTCAATTTCTTTCAGGATGCCCTTAACATGCCAATAATCTGTTCAATTCTTTTTAATTCCATTGCTTATCTTTTTCTCTTGCTGTATTTGTGTTGCTGGTAATTGATGCACTTTGTTTTATCAGAAGAATATGTTCTAAGCTTCATCCATTAATGTTCTCAATCATGAATTGGAAGCACCAGGATTAGGTTCTTACTGTCTCCTCAAACAGGTGTTCTGATTCATATTCGGAGACAATGCTTGGATATGCTAACAGCATCCGCACAATTGATGGTGGCACCCATATAGATGGGATGAAAGCTTCATTAACGAGAACTATCAACAACCTGGGGAAAAAGTCCAAAGCTATGAAGGTATTTAATTTTCAATAATTGATTCATGTTTCTATTGATAGAATATATAAAGGGATGCCTTCAGGTATAATGGGTGGAGAGGGTCAATTCAATATGAAAAACAGATATTATCTAGAACAGTTCAGCAGAAGTTAGACTGTGGTTGTTTCTGTAGCTCTTTGTAATAACAATTCTTTATAAAGACAGGAATTCAATTTTGGATAAGTTCTGTTTCCTATCACCTGCAGACAAGCTTTATTTGATCAGTTGATCTTTCATATCATGAATCATATTTTATTTATTCTACAAGTTCACCGTTCATCCAACATGTTCATAAGCAAGGTCTTCAATTTCGAATAATACCGTCCGTACCAGTCTGCCAGCAGACCGGTACATGGACCGCTCGCTACCGAGCGGTATATATATATATATATATATATATATATATATATATAGGCGACGTCGTCTCATTTTTTTGCGACATCGGCCCGTGTGGGGAGAAGAGAGGCGACGTTGCAGATTTTTTTTACTTTTATATATAAATATATATATAAATAAAAAGATTTTTTTACCTATATATATATACCGAGTGGTATATCGAAACTCCGGTACGGTATGATATTTCAATCCTAAGTGAGAAAGTCTTCTGATAATTTCTTTTAGCTTGGTATTAGGTTCCATATAATGGTAAAAGAAAGTTGAGTAACATATGATATTTTTCAAAAGAATCATGGTGGAATTGGTTATGGTTACATAAATATGTATCTGTAACATTATGTATGTGTCTTGCAGAGTTTTTGTCAGAAACTATTTTTGGCTTCATTGAACTAGGGTAAATTCCAAACATGTGAATTTTTGTCTGGTCACAATCAGTGTGATTTTTACCCAATAGAAAATTTTGATGCCTTTTTTTTTGTGGTGGTGCAATTTGTGGTGTATGTTAAAGTACTTTTTATATTGAAATGTCAACCAGTAGATGTACTTTTTATATTTATATGTCAGCAATTTGGACTTTTTTTGTATATTTTTGTGCTTTACAATTTATACAAAAGATCCTGTGACAGGATAAGGATATTAGCTTAAGTGGAGAGCATGTAAGGGAAGGATTAACATGCATTATTTCTGTAAAGGTTCCAAATCCAGAATTTGAAGGACAAACAAAGGTACTCTTGACTTTGTGCTTGGAAAAGTATTTGAAGTGTCTTCTATAGTTTCTTTCGTTTCATATATCTGACTAATGCTAGATGGCACGTTGCTTGTTAATATTGTATCTTATGTTCTTATGAGATAGACAAGGTTAGGGAACCCTGAAGTACGAAAAGTTGTTGAACAATGTGTTCAAGAGCATCTTACCGAGTACCTGGAGTTACATCCGGACGTGTTTGAGTCAATTCTTTCTAAAGCTCTCAATGCTCTGAAGGTATATTTTTTTTACTGTTGCATGTAATATTGTTGCTTTGTTAGTTTCATCGAGAACATTTTCACTATTTCTTAATGCTGACATTTTGACAGCAGCATCATTTCTCGAGATAACTTGCTTTTTAAATAAAACATGCATTTTATATTGTTGCTACTTCAGTAGAGATTACTCAAAATGATCACTTGTTATATTTGTTATACAATTTTTGTTGTTTTACATATAATTGTAGAGTTACACTTTTTATGTAGGCTGCCATGGCAGCAAAGCGCGCTAGAGAATTGGTGAGATCAAAAAGTGTGCTGAAATCTTCTTCCCTTCCTGGAAAATTAGCTGATTGTTCATCTACAAATCCTGAAGAATGTGGTAACTGTCCATGTGTCATGTTCAATTTGTGATTGAAGTTTACTAGATTCAATTATGGATTTTTAAATTTCTTATTTGCTGTTAAAGTGTGCTTATCATGCCAAATATTGGTATTAAAGGTGGTTTTTTAACAATATAATGTAATTTTCAAAAGTTCAAATTTTAGTACGTTGATGTTGCTAATCCACTGTTGGTGCTTGTTCAGTTGCTTGGTGCCTTCTTCTGCAACTTGCCTCTAGTGTTGTGCCACAATTCTATTTTTGAGATATCCAACATCTCAGTGAAATTGAAAGATTAGTTTTGGACGATACTTTTAGTTTCAACTGCACCACCCCCCAAAAAATCTTTGGAATCATTTACTGACTTAACCATGTCTTAAACATATATTTCAACAATTCGTGTATAGTTTACTGATATTTCATTATTCTTGAGCCTATAAAGTAGGACAGATCATTATATTTGCTCTTGACATATCCATGAAAACATTGGGCTCTTGTTTCACAGTGCACTCTTGACTTGTTTCTTAAAAGAAATATTGGGAGGTTGTTAGTTGACAGCCAAAACAATTTAACCAGTCTGTGATGCTTACCTGTTCATTTGTCATAGTTGCTATCAGAAGGATTCATTAAGTAGTAAAGGGGATGTATTAACCATGGAGACACTTGTTAGGAAGCTCTGTAAGACTTCCATGCCAGTACTGTTGTCTTCTTTTCTTATGCTGTAGTATCTTGGCATTGTTGTTTAAGTGCGTTTTCTTAAGATGTATCCTTAAGTCTTCCACTTGTAATGTAGAACATAATGTTATGAATTATGGATTTAAAACAAATGAAAACATCAAGAGTGGCTTTAATGTGAGAATTTTCTGGCACTTCTCCTTTATTGTACTGTTTCCAGTATTCAGTGTCTTGGTTGTATTTCTTGGTATTGCATTTTCTACTGTTGCTGCAGCAAATTTCATTCATTGATCTACAATTTCTTTTTCTTATTTACTCTATTGATCAATATTTTCAGAGATCTTTATAGTGGAAGGTGATTCAGCAGGTGGCAGTGCCAAGCAAGGTCGTGATAGGAGATTCCAGGTGAAAGTTCAATTTCTTTTATGACTGAGCTTTTAATAGTAAGGACAGAGAGAGGATATGATTCTATGCATGTTGTTTGAATTATTTTATGACCCTTTGTCCTAAATTTACTAAAAAAAATTAAAATGTTGTGTGTTGTTCTTGTTTCCCTTCTGAAAGATGCATGTATATATACCCTCTCCGTAAGTCTTATGTTTTGGTCCAGTGCATTGATCTGTATTAGATTAAGTCCCATCAAGTGATGTTTTTTTTGCAATCATATTTCAAATGTTGATAAGTGATGACAGACTACTGTCATGAGCAGAATTCCACGTATGTCATGAAATATGGATTGCTTGACGAATCATTTGGGTCCATTAAAGTACATTATTTCAGATAGGGATGTTGAGCATCTAATGTTGAATATTTACCTGTCTGTCATTCCTTTTGATGATCACTGTCAATGTTTATTTAATACAGACATGTCTATTTCTTGTTGTATTAAATATCTTTCTATCATGTAGCAGCTCAGAGTCATTTTTCATGGAGTCGGTATCTTTTTATCACGTAGCAGTGTGGATTCATATATTGTACCTAGCCTTCTGTTTATCAAACACGAGTTTCTACCTTAATGCCATTATGTAACAACTAATTGTATAAAGTGGGGACATTGAACACTTCAATCGGGTTTCTGAATTGGAAGAACTCATTATGTTATGTATGCATTATGAATTTAAGATGTGCCACTAATTGGTGAAAGGATAACCTTCTTATCGTCCACTTTATGTTTACTGTAATTTTGCAATTTTGAGTTGCCTACTTTATTCTATATGAGAGTTTTCTTTTACCTGATTGTTCTTTTTGTTTATCGGGTCATAGTTCCGTTCATCACTTTCAGTTGTAAATTATTTGCACTAAACACTCCTAAAATTTGAACTATCTCAACAATTCTTGCAGGCTGTTTTGCCTTTGAGGGGTAAAATACTGAACATTGAAAGAAGGGATGAAGCAGCTATGTACAAGAATGAAGAAATTCAAAATCTCATTCTTGGCCTTGGTCTTGGTGTAAAGGTTGCATCTGCACACTTCCCGTGGATTTGTCAGCATTCAAACATTCTTGCTGATCAGAATGTTTCATTATCCAGGGGGAGGATTTTAGGAAAGATGCCCTTCGATATCATAAGATCATCATTCTCACTGATGCTGATGTGGATGGTGCTCATATAAGAACCCTTCTGCTAACATTTTTCTTTAGATACCAGGTGCGCTGTAGAATGCTACTGTTAAGGATTTAACAGCCATGTTATTGTTAAATTCCAAATTCCAAATTCCATATAGGTAGAGTTATAACTGTATGATGAACACTGTTGCTGCAGAAAGCACTCTTCGATGAAGGTTGCATCTATGTTGGTGTTCCTCCGCTTTATAAGGTGCACACTCCACTTTCTTGTGTGTACAAGAAATTTGCTATAAATCTTTTTTTCCTTCAATTTCTTATCTAATCATCAAGTATCAGGTTGAGCGTGGAAAACATATACACTACTGTTATGATGACACAGAGCTCAAGCGCCTCACAAAAACCTTCCCTACGAATTCTTCATACAATATCCAAAGATTCAAAGGTAAACAGAGAAATAAAAAGCAAAAACAGAACAATCATAAGAAGGAAAGTGTTTAGAGGCATTCTGAACCTGCAAATCATTTGATGTTTCTCATGCATGCTGCTGTCGCTACTTGTATGTCTGCTGCCAATCTTCTTTGAATTTTTAAATGGAAGCTAACATGTATGCTGACCATATCATTTATCAAAAGTTTCTGTTGGAAATCTGATTTTGTAACAAATACTGGTATCTTTATCTTTTCCAAAATATCCTTTTTGAACTTCTTTATATAACAGAACAGATTGTTCTTTGGAATGCCATGTTACTGCATTTTTATCTTTTTTCCTTGTGTGTGTTTTTAGAAAGGTAGTTTGCATAAACAACGATACCATGGTGCAACCAGAACTGCATTCTTCACGCAACCAAATTAGTGAATATTGCTGAAGATGTACATAAATTAAATACTTGACCAAGTTATTTTTCTAATTGTCCCTCATTTGAGTTTTTTTTTCTTTGCTTTCTTGTTCAGTGTTATGTCTCACTTAAAATGCAAAAATGGTGCCTTATTTTTCTCTTAGTCTCCTTCATGGCATGCTACATCTACTTAAACAAAGTTACAATTTCATTTACCAAGTTATGTCACATTCTATAACTACAAGGAATATCTGTCCTATGTCCTCTTTTAAAAGACTAATGACACATTCATTATTTTGGAAATAATAGGATTAGGGGAGATGATGCCATTACAACTCTGGGAAACTACACTTGACCCAGAGAGAAGGCTACTGAAGCAGCTAGTAGTGGAAGATGCTGCGGAAGCTAGTGTTGTGTTCTCTTCACTTATGGGCACTCGTGTAAGTAAACAGATGCTATGTTAAAGTCTTGTTCTGTCTGTGTTTAATTTGGTAAACTAATTGTTAACCATTTTATTTCATTTACAATTGAATATATTGCTCCTTGAGGTCCCTAATTTGTTATCATTTTCTTTTAGGTTGATGTTAGGAAGGAATTGATACAGAACTCTGCAAATATGATCAACCTGGAACACCTCGATATCTGAGGATGACTCAGTAACATGTCTGACAACTCTGTAACTAACTGGCCGTATGCCTTGCCCAACTATTTTGGTCCATTCGTGTTCCATTCCTTTGGTTGGCTTAATTGGTGTTTTTGTAGGGAAAGGAGCAAATGGAGATTGTTGGCTACTTAATAGGTTTGTACTTGTCTGTAGCTTACATATATTTCTTTTAGTGAATCCTTTTGTTACGCAGCCTTTATTATCTTTTCCCATTATCTTTGTTTCCATGTAGGTATATTCTTGGCCTTTGTTTGGTTTGAGAACTAATGAAAGCATCTCGTCTTCCTTGCTTCCTCTTTTTTTACCTTATCATAATGATGTTATCTTGGTCAGTATTAGTTTTGCATTATGAGAACTGCAAGAAATAACATATTCATCATAGATTTGTCTTGCTTGTCTTTGGTTCATCTGGATAGCATATAATAATCTTTATTTTTTTTGTATTCGGCAGAATTAAGACTGGTTTGGGCTTCAAGTGCAGATTGGACAAGTACGTGTCTGACAGAGTCCGATAATATTACTTTTACCTTTTGCTGCCAAGACTTTGAAGAAGCCTTTTGCCATTTACCCTCCTCTATTTGTCTTATGTATTATCATGGATAGTTTTTGAACAATGTTGTACTTTTCCCTTATTTCAAGATCTGCCTTTTTGTTTCTTTCTATCACATAGGCAGTTATTAGTTCAGTTGGTCTTAGTATATATTTACTTCAAGAGATCTTCCACACCAGCAGGAAAGCATACTGTTCAGGTTCTGCTGCGTTGATCAGATATAGTGTTTTAGCTATATCAAGAGGTGATCATCTGACAGGTTCATGGCCATACTACGTCTATCTACTATGTTTCTGTTTCAAGTTGAATTTTTTGTTTGTTTGTTTAAATGGGTAACTAAATGATATTCCCATGCTTATCATCAACTGTTGTTTGCCTCTGAAGAATGCACTTAGTGGATCACCTGCCAACTGTTTGATTATTTACCTGCATGATAACCTGTTCCTCATGTGCAGATTGTCATCAGTATTCCTCAATGCTATGGCGCCACTGATCCGCATTTGCTACTTGGGAGAACAGAATGAGCATATTATCTGTTGCAGAAATCTCATCAGATCCACCCTTCACTTTTCTGATGTTAACAACTCTAATCGGGGGCCACAAAATCCTCATAAGATATTGCAACCATCAATAGGTTTATGCGAAAAGGTTTCTTAATTGTTGACTTCTCTGATCTGCCTACATGCCTTTGTCAAAAAGGAGAAGGGTGTCGGTATGGTTTATTGGATCAAGAATCCAGTTTTAACTCTTCCAACTCACATGTTCTTCATGAATCCATTTCTATCTTCCTTTAAATTAAAGATGCTACTCAAATCTTGATCACATATGTCGCAGATAAGTAATGCATGGATGAATACTTTTTTCATCACATTAACTGATCTAGATGTGTGAATGTATTCTGCAAATGAGTAGCATTAATTCTTCGCCACTTGCAGTCTCTGCAGATGAATATTGTTCTTACACCGAGAAGTGTATTGCAGTGAGCTAACTTTCTTCATCTTGCATATTAAATTTGCATATTTAGGTACACCGAGAAGTGTGCCAAAGCTCAAGCCTGCATTTATTACTCTTCTCAAAATGCAGATGACCATGGTCGGATGAATTTACTAGACCAGCTGATATTTTCAAGGTAGAAGTAAATGGGAAATTAATATATGTAGCCCGAGGTGATCATGTTGCAATCCCAAGGTGGTGGCAATGGAGTTGGGTGTTTGAGCTTGGATCTGTTTGACTTGATTCAGGTTAGTCATATCTAGAAATGAATGGAACCCTTATGATCAGATTGAGACATAAAAATTAAACATTGAATTTTTTTGGTATTTAAATAGGTATGTATGGAATTCATTTTAAACCCATCAGGAAGCACATTAATTGCATCAGTAGATAGAATCAACTGATCACCTGTTAAGGTCTCACAGGACACTTGTCCTATTCCACTTATTTTAGAACCCTGTTTCAGAGATCATGGTATGAAGAATGCCATTTATGTAGAATGATCATGGACAAGAAATGGATCCGTGTGTGTACATGGCAGACAAGGATCAATATCAAGTCCATTGCATACCAATGGGCAGCATTTTCCATTGCATGGCAGCTGATTTTTGTAAATGAGATTACAGATATGGGAATGTTTCTGCACTTTAGATTTGATTTGTATCAAGTATCTTTGCATCCCATAGTGCAGGTAAATGACATGAGGTGGCAACACAAAACGAGTGGATAAAGAACTGTTTGCACTATATCTTTGTCCATATCACTACCAGTGTTCTCTCTCTCTCTCTCTCTTCTTTCATTTGATTACACTTTGTAATGACTTCATAAAGAATTAAGTGCAAGAAACCAAAAAATACCAACTTTTTTTATGATTCTTCAAAGAGTCAAAAACTAAATCAAATCTCATAAGCAAGAGTTATGATTCAATATTAGTTTTTATTGTTTGGTCAAGGGCCAAATGATCTCCTTTTTTTTTTTTTCTTTTTCTGAAATTGTTTCTCTAAATCACAATTTATGATGCTTGTATCTGATCTAGCTTCAGCTGCCCCAATGAGATCTTTTTTTTATAAGGGATCTTTTGTCCATGATTGATATCAAAGATAAACTTGATCTAAGACTGCTGATTTAACAAGCTGGTCCAATTAGGTTGAGAAGTTCTCATCTTGGATTTGGTCTATATCATCTCAAGTTAAATCAGTGGTCTATTGATTGTTGCTATCTGACATGGTTTTAAGCTACTGACCAACTCTACTGTGTGTTACTACAACCTGATCCTAAGGCTTGCTCTAAACCAACACAATCTAAGGCAAGCAGTGTTAGATAGAGTCAATGGTTTGAGTAAAAAAATTCAAATTTGGGAAGGCTCATCATGCCTTTTGTCAGTTCCTGGATGCAAGGAAGTGTGCAGAGAGATGAAATGAATCGGATGCACTACCGAAGGCTGGAGCTTCAATGAGCTATGCTTTTGCACTGTTGATGCACAAGCAAATGAATCAGATTCCACTAGTTGCAGGTAGATGCAATGTGCCAATCTTTATCTCCACAGGGAAAAGTTCGTAGCTGACACACACACATCGAAGGCACGCCAAGTGCCAAGTATCCCAAAGCTTGGTCGTTGATTCCCTGCCATGTTCTTCGAAATCTTCTGACGGGCCACACAAATCTCCGTTGAGCAGGACATCTTCTGCTTGCCTCTGCCACAGCCTTTCAGCTCAAAAGGTGGAAGCTGGAGTGCCAGCTGCGGTCGGCCGGTGTCGCCTCGGTCGCATGCATCTGCAGCTAAACAAGTAGTGGCTTTGTTGCTCTTGCCATCTAACAAGCACCCAACTTTAGGAATCTGTCTCGATTCATTCTTTGGCATCATATCTTTCCACCATCTTCCTGTGACTCTATCCACACCCCCACAACAGATCGGCCCTCGTCCCTACCAATCCTGTAACCTGCACAAGCTTTTGCCCAACATGAGCCGGAATCTCATATCTTGCTGTAGCTTATCCCCTCAGCCACAGAAGCCACTGTTCTTGGAGGCCAACTCCTTGGCAGCTATGTCACTCCATGCTCCCGAAACTTAAGAATAGCTTGTACTTAATCACTGGCTTATTCTTATACAAGGCCACTAACTTTTATCTCAAGTGTTGCATCCTCCATTATGGATTCCATGCTAGATTGTTGCCACCATGGGAGACCAGGCACAGTGATGATGGAGGGGTTTGTGTACTGGATTGGTCTCTTCACTCTTTCTTTTCTATTAGTTTAGCGTCTTTAGTGCAGCTAAGATTTGAGGATCAAGAAAAAATCCATCTCAAGATCCTAACACCAGCTCACCAGTGTCATTTTATATTCTGTCGAGTACACTTGTTGACAACCCAATGAACTGGGTAGAAAGCTGTGTGAGGATATCTTCAAGTTGTGCATGAATTGGCTACTAATTCTCCATACCTAATCTCTGGTCAAAATTTGTGGACTCAAAACACTTTTCTCACCGATTACCACATGGCTTATTATCACAAAAAGTCATCCTCCCAGAGACATTACTTTAGCTAAAGCCAACTCTAGTAGTGGATGACTAGTGCAGAGATGTGAAATTTCCAATGCATATCATCTCAGAAAAGGATGTTTTTCCATGAAGAATGTCATGTCAGTACTAGATGGTTTGATGGCATAAAAGTATGTCCAGTTTCAATTCAACTTATTTAGATAACATATTTATGTTGTCAGTCTCATACTTTAATGCACATTCTGGTTTCTGTTTTTTTACCAGTGTTGCTGCTGGTAGTCTTGAAGAATCAATAGTGATGAGTAGGATGTATAATCCTTGTGGATTTGGGATGAGCTCATCAAGATTCACAGTGATCTTTACCATGCATCATGCCCAACATTGCTGCCACCACTGCAATTTCTCTTTTGACAAGCTGCATTACTTTATAGCAGATGGTCACTTTCAGTGCATACCTCATCTTCATTAATTGTTAATTGAGTTTGCTAAATCATATTGGACTCTTTCTTACATGGTAACTTTTCAATTCATGGCTTAATAGTAGTGCTTGGCTCTAAGAGAGAGAGAGAGAGAGCAAGGATATGAATAAAGTTTCATCTTGCTTGTGATCATTGTTGACACTTCCTTATGATTTATTTGGAAGTAAAAATAATTATAGATTCAACAACCATCCATCCTCCTTCCTCTCAGTTATCTTTGTGGTTTTAAAGCTCTCTCTTTTTAAGGATGGCTCCTGTGGTCACTCTCCATCCATCTAATTAGGATGTTAGCTCTTTGGAGCACTCATTTAACTTTTTCTCTGTGATGAGTCCTTTTCTAATATGAGTTCTTTTGTAGGTTCTGGATCTTGCTTTGGTAACCGTGATGGAGACACGATTGTTAGGGGGTGCTCTTGCCATCATGTTATTAGTCCTAAACATGTCGAATGACTTGCCATCAAGTTCTGTTTTTCCCCCCAGGAAAAAAAAAAGTAGTTCATCTGGAATTCATTTCCATGCTTTTTCCATGTAATCGAGTGGTACTTTATTATGATCACAAACCAATTCATAGTTTTCTCAGCTAGAATGATAGGATGCATGTTCATCTTTGTTCTGTAATATTTCTGGCAAGTATGTATGATGATCATTCACATCATGCAAGAGGAACATGTTGAAATAAAAAAAACACTAAAGATTACTTTTATCTAATCCAGTTTGGTATTCTTGCACTGATGATTTCAATCAACAATGTTGAATGGACCCATAGTGGAGGAAATCTAGATACTTTATCTTGGTACTAATTATTTATTGACCCAGAGTCAAATATAATAATATTTTAGTATATGGTTTAGCTGTAAGAAGCATCAGAATTGATAAATCCACATGTTCAAGATTTCCTAAAAACTAAATTTACTTGAGAAGCAGAGGAAGAAAGAGTGGCAAAATCATCCATCCATTATTGCCAGATCCTTTTTTTTGTTCCAATGTTATCTCACTCAATTTGTAGTATTAAAAGATGGGTGCTGAGTGCAAGATGGAGACAGGAGGAGGAATCTTCCTGGCATCAGATACCCAAACCAGCACAAGCAACTTTTAGCCACAGCCCACCAACAAGAAGAAGACACCACCTGCACTGACTTGGGGTCATGGCCTTTTCTCCTCCACAGCAGGGTCGTATGACCATGTTGTGTGACTTCAGCTATTATCTCTACCAACCATAAAAGCCAATGGTTGCCAATGGTGGATGGTGAGGAAGATGGGCTTGTGTTGTTTGATGATGATTGGTTCCTCCAGTTCCTGATTCAACCTTCCACACCCCAAGAAAAGTAAAAAACTAGGCTTTTTCCTAGCCATTTATAGCTTATCCACCCATGTATTAGTTGCAGTCCTGCAATCCTTCTTCCTCATCTCTCACACACCTCACCAGTTCTGTGATCTGTGTTCTCCCTGGGGAAGAAAGAGAGAGGTCTGGTGCTGGTGGTGCTGAGGAGTCGGTAGGTTCGGGGGGAAAGAAAGATCATGATGCGCTGAACAGGAAACATCCCCACCACTTCATGCTTACCTCCATCGTCTTCTCCTCACCGTTTCAGCGAAGCTTACTTCTTGGGCTTCTGCCACTTGGAGTGGTGTGCAACCGCCAACCGAACCTTGGAGCTGCATTGAAGCTCTGTTCTCTCGGTTCCGGCTTTCTGATGCCATTCTTCTTCCTCATGTCATTCTTCCCCGTCATCGTCCTGCTATCCAAGTCGCTTCCTTTACAGCCCCTGCCTCCATGGGCAGGTGAGGTGAGACTGCTCTCCATCTTGTTCTGGCGAGAATTATCAGCTGCTCTGCTGCTTTTTTTCGACAAGTTTCGGCCCGTTAGCGCTCGAAAACTCGCTGCTCCATCGTCACCCACGATGTCTCCGAGGAAGAGATGTGCCCACAGGGTGGATAATGTGGAGGAATCGGGGGAGATGTCGGTCTTGGACTTGCCGGAGTTGGCCTTGGAGTGCATCCTCGGGAAGCTGTCGCCGGCCGGATTGTCGAACATGGCGGCAGTTTGTAGCTCTCTGAGGGAGAGGTGCAGGAGTGACCACCTCTGGGAGAAGCACATGGAAGAGAAATGGGGGAGAGTGATCGGCCACGCAGCGCGCAGAGAGTGGAAGCTGTTGTTGGCTTCGATCAAGAACTCTTCGGCGAGCAACAGCTGCAGGAAGTGGATTGGGGCGCTCTCCTGTGTGTGGCCTATTTCCTGGCTCAAGTCTAGGATTGATGGTGGATGCCAGAACAGGAGCCCTTTGCCTGATGACTCCATTATGTCTTGGTATCGGTCACTGGAGAGCGGCGGATTCTGGTTCCCAGCTCAGGTTTACAACCGTGAGGTAATGATCAGCACAAATCCACCATGTCTGTAAGCCTCAGGATCTGTTTCTCTATGCTCGTATATTGGATCAGACATCGATAGGATGGATTTGGCTTTAGATCCTGTTCCCTGCCATAGATTTAGGCAGCTTCATAGTCATAGCTTTAGTGCTCCCAAAACAAGATCGTAGCTTTTCCTTCTTTTAGCTTGAATTGCTAAGAATTGTAATGCTTCTATGCAGCATGGGCATGTGGGGTTTATGTTATCCTGCTATGATGCAGAAGTCAGATATGATCGCCAGACAAACTCTTTTCATGCAAGGTATGCATAGATTGGCCTCATCAAATGCAAATTCTGTTCTCCTTATGCAAAACAATATACCGCAAAGCTTCAGAAAGTTTTGGAACTGAATATATGAGCAAAAAGTATCGAATTTTTAGTTCTTGAACTTTCTGAAACTGAAATTAAGAAGTTAGTATGAATGTGTGTGACTGGATTTAGTACCTAATGATGTATCATGACTTGTAGGTACCCACCCCATGGACGACGAACTATAGTCGTAGAGGAGGGAGTGCAGTGGGACAGGCTGAGGGCACCTCCTGTCAACACTCCTCCTCATGATCTTCACATCTCGGATTGCCTCAGTGATTTACGCCCAGGCAATCATATCGAGATTCAATGGAGGAGGAACAAAGAGTTTCCATATGGTGTGTGCTTTAATCATCTGACTGTTCTGATTGTGTCTTTAACTCAATACATAGACTCAATTTTCTACTATTAACAAGTGATTTGTATGTAGTGGAAGGAAGTCAACAATGTCTCATCGTGTTTTGCAGGCTGGTGGTATGGAGTCATAGGTCACTTGGAATCTTGTAATGGAAATGAGCATTATTGCAGTTGTCATCTTAGTGGTGAGTATCTCTATGCTGTTGTGTATTGCACAGAGATATTTTTTCTTCCTAGACTTTAGAGATAAGAGACATGGCTAGAAATGCTTTATCTGAGCATCCTCTAGACCTTATATGACTTGGCTGAACACCATCCTTGAATCAGAAAATTGTTGAACAGAGGTTGTAGAGAGAGTAGATGAAACTTTATTGTTATAGACTAAAAGACTCTTAAGGGTGCTTCTCTACACAATCAACATGGTTATTAACTGATCTTGGAAGTTGCTTACGTTGTTCCGGGAGTTCTTTTCTATATGACTCTTTTGATCTATTATATTTTCAGATCTCTTATCTTATATACACTCGGAACAACGGCATTTTCCTTCGAAATAACAACATACAAATAAGTGTCAATTTCACACATTCAACTGCTCTCAAATTTCACTAATGCACTGTTGCTTATCTTAATCAGGTATTAGTATTTACCCTTGATGCATCTCGATTACTCATTACTTTGTCTGCAAGAATTGTTAACTTACATTGACATGGATAACATGGAACACTTCTCATCTTGCAGCAAAATAAGAAGATGAATCAAAGTGCCCGACTGTTTGTCGTTACAGTAATTTGTTGGATTTAATTCTGTCATGATAGATGATCAAGCGTTTTCCAGTTTCATTTTTGTCTATTTCAATATTCTACGGGATAGTATTTTTTTTTAGTTTCAAATAACAATCCAGAACAGTTAAATAGATGCTACAGCTGAAGCAGACTAGATACACAAAATAGCAAACATCTAATATAATTGTAATGCGTGTGACCATTGCGATGTTCTTTTCAGCTTTCCTGTTTGAAACATTAGTAAGTTCTGATATTGTTAAGAGCTTTTATTTGGCAAGATTTAATTCAATCAACTATTAAACATCCTTTATTGTTTGTTATTAGTTTTAGGTTTTAAGAATGTGAGTCTAAGAGATTGCCACTTCCTTATGTTCTCGTAGAAGCCAGTAAGACTTTATATGATGTTCAGAATTTTCAAGTCGCAAATCTAGTTTTGAGATCATGCTTTAAGGAATACAAATTTTGATTGAATTATCATATGTTTTGCCTCAACAAAATTTAGTCTCAGCTGACAACTATAAGATAACCGGCACTTGCTCTGCACAAACCTTAGCATCTCATTTTTGAAGCTTCCTTCAAAACACCGTCAGGTTTGACATAAAATTAATAGCCTGGTGAGTGTAAACTTACACAGCCTAATCTCTGCAGAAAAAAATGGTTGTTTCCATATCTTTGACTTGGAGTGTCACTTGTCCACTTCATTTAGCTTTTAGTTCATGAACTTCCAAATTTGCCAGACTATAATCTCCTTCTAAAAGTTGAATCATCATTACTTGGGAACCTGGAAGCACTTGTGTATTTGCTTTTGGGATTGCAATAAACTTCTTTCATCTCTCAGGCCAACCATTTCTATTTGATTGTCCAGATACTGTTGTCCTGGAATTCAACCAGTACACGCTCGGTTCAAGATGGCGACGAGCATCAATTAGTCGAAAGCATCACAGAGAAGAAGGTAACGAAACGGATGGATTCTACGGAGGAATCAGAAAACTCCACGGCAAGGATGAAATCTCTAAGTGGAGACGGCTGTGGCCAACAGATGCTCTGGAATAGAGTTCGTTCAAGTCCTGTTCAAGCATCATCTGTGCATATTTTTATTCCTTTGTGCCTAAATAGTCATCGGGGTCTTTCTACCACATGAAACTTGTTTGGCCTTAAGGTTAATCCTGAAGTACCTATCAACTGTTCATGTGAGCTCAGAATGAGAAGAGATGATTAGTAGCCAAACATAGCTGAAGAGGCATCAGATGTGGTACATGTAACTCCAAGCTCATGCAGATTACATATTGTAGCTTAGAACACAAGCAATTCAATATAAATTACATGTTTAGCTCTTCATTCTCTGTTGCAAGTCAAACTCTTCCTTTGATTAGCAGCTGTTATGTTGCTGATGCAGCCAGAATTCTTCATATAGTTTGAGATTGCAGGTTTTTCCTTTTTTTTGGGTTGTACCAGCAACTCCAACTATTCATTCCATGTACTGCTAAATTGTTTAACTGGTCTGAGATCATCTAGGAAATAAATGAACTGTTCTTTCATCTCTTTCTACTTCTCTGGTCAAACCACTCTTCCAAGATTCTACTAGGAAGCCACTTTACAAACTTGTTTAGGTACTGTTTGAACAAAGATTCTACTGTGAAGCCACTAAAGCTAAGCTGTTTCTAGACCATATCTTATTTTTGTTTGATTTAAGTGTGACGAAGTATTATGGTTGTCTTCTTTGTTTTGAAAGAATGGTTAAGAATTGAGTCATAGAATTCAACCGACAGCAAAAGAACTATGTATCCGATTCCAAATGGTTGGCACAACATCACGATGACTTGTTATTATTGTTGTTACTGTATAGTCACAAATCAAAGAAGAATCTAATTCAAATCCACCATCAAGTTTCAATGCTTAGCATCAAAGTGATAAACTCTCACAATTTGATACTCAAGGAGTCTGTAGCTTAAATCTTGCAGTATGAACCACATTTTGGAACATAGGAATTGCATAGAGCAAAGTAACAGATCATTCAAGGACAGTGTTACTGATTGCAATATTTCTCATCACATGTAACAGAGCAAAGATCTTATTGAGGGTGAAAAGAAAGTATTACAGGTTAGTGAATCCCATTTGCAGGCCTCAATTCCCTTCAAACTTCTACGCTTGCTATTCTCATCTGTACATTCTTCTGGACAGCAACAATACACTAATGATTGATATGGCTGATTGATAGCATCTCACAAATTTAGGAAGTTTTTAATTTTGTCACCATGGCTACTACGATCTCGGTTTGACTGCCCCACTCAATCAATCATCCTCATTCAGGGAATGCGCAGATTCTCCTGGCTCTACTTTCCTCAACTCATCAAACAATCAGTTGTTGCCACCCTAAATCTTTGTTGATCGATGAAGAATCTTCTGCTAAGGTTTTGGAATTGTGCGCGAGGAAACTCCATGCAGAAGTTTAACAAATCCCAGGAGACTCAGTTTTCCGTCAGAATGTCTTATCCAGTCCTGGAGAACAACATGAACCGGCACTGACGGGCTAAGTCCAAGTTCCTGTACAAGTGCATAACTATCTGTTACATATCAAAAGTCCTAATGAATGAAGAGAACTAGCGCTTGTGAGTGCTGAATAAAACCATTGCAGCTAAATGAGTATCTGAATCCCAGTAAGTAATACATTAGTTGAAAAATTAGAAATATCTGCTGTATATCGAAATGTGACTTCAATTGATACAATATATATATAAGAATAGGCTTTGTCATTTGATCATACCGATGCGAGTTCCTCGATCATGATAGGTCTGTTCCCATCCTTCTCAAAGAATTCATAACCCTGACGAGCGTGTTGCTCCCAGGTATCAAGTGCTTCCATCTGATGCACACTTATGGCTGCGGCAGCAAATTCTTCGAAGTCTAGTTTTCTATATTGAAGAGAACTCACCTAATTCAAAAAGAATCAATGGAAAAAGAATTACTATGTCTGTAACTGCAACTGACAAAATTTTCTTAAGCTAAACAGTGTTTTAAAAAGGAATACCATGTTAACAAATTCAAGAACCTTCGAGTCCTTCATAGTGTCGGTTGAATTTTTTAACAAGGCCTGCAAAATGAAACAAATTTAAGAATCTAAGATAAAGAAATACTGCGGTCAGTTCATAATAAGTTACCCACCGTCTTTAAGTTTTGAAGGGAGATCAAGCCACTCTTGTTTGGCCCTAACAAAGAAAACTGTTCTCGCAGGTAGTAGAGCTGATTTACTGTCAAGGTCTTGGCAAGAGCCTGTCATGTATTAAGAAGGAATCAACAGATAAAAAGATGGTAGTTCTTTTTCTTTCACATATAAACTTCTAATTTGTTATATGGTAGTTGTGGGATGCACAAAAGCAAACCAAAAAATATAGAAACTCAAATATCATATTATCAAGATTTTCAATAGAAAGCAAATAACTATAATTTTAGGTGACCAATTAGATACAAGACCATATACTTATTGAGTTATTTCCACCTACGTATGCAGAATCTATTTAAGAGGGTGGGCCTTGATATGACAGTAATCACTCAAGTAATTAATGTTGCTCCCCGGGAGATCAAGATTCAAGTCACGAAAATAACCTATTTAAATATTTAAAAATAATGCTGCATACATTAATCCTCCTTAGACCCCACATGCCGGGAGACTCGTGTGTTAGGTATGCTCTTTTTTTTTTTTTTGCAGAATCTATTTATACCCTTATGTATAGTGTGTAGGTTGATAATAAGCATGGTCATACATGTATATGAATTGAAATTATTTCAAGTCACTGCATGATAAAGAGGTCTTAGATTGATTCTTAATAAGTATGACCATCAATGTCAAGCAGAGCTTAAAGTCCTTGCTGTTGACTTTATAAGTCAGTCATCATTCTATGAATTTGGGATCATCCCATATCTTGTTGCTGTTTTCTTATTCACATTCGTTATATCAGAGACCCATCATTGAGTTCAGAGCCTGGTATCAGAACTAAGATATTTAACCATTAAACTAAAATTATGGTCTTCATATTAAACTATATAAAACTTTCTTCATATTACTATATTTAATCATGTTTCTCTGGTTATCGAAATTTATCCTGCAATCAGCATTAAGATTTTTTTAACACATAGATGCGATAGAACTAATTTCTCACATTAAACTATTTTACTGGCTTTTCTGTTTTTATCTGCTTTCGTCATTCACCTAATTTCAAATAATTGGTTCCAGTGAGTATTTTTTTCTTACGCACCATGAAGACAAGCAATAATGTCCCAACGAGGATAAGTTCTCTTAATTCTGAAAATTACTATAACACTCCTTATATGATTACATAAACCTACAGGATCAGTTACATGAGTGAATTCATGGGTTTGATCATGACATATATTGACCATTTCTGCCAATATGTCTGGATCATATGCAGGTTGAGTTTAAATCTGGGCTCATCCTGACTTCACCTAGCTCATCTTTTGCCGGTTTCATTACTTAATATAAGCCAGAGACAAGAAAGATGCAATCATCAAAAAGACAGAAAGTACAAGATAGAATAAGGACGAGGAGCATACCCTCAATGCTGATTTCCTTAAAGAAGAAGAACATATGTAAGCCTTTACAAGCTTATAGACTATAATGTCCAGAGGAATCTTAACCTCTTCAGGATTCCGCAGCCAAGGATGACCTGAGATAAGTTGAATCTAGTTATTAACAAGCTTATATCTTTTTTGAAAAAACTATACCAAGGTAACGAGGAACCTACAGAGGGCCTGTGCAGCAGTCATTCTCTTTCGATAGTCCTTGTTCAGCAATTTCTTGACAAAATCTTTCGCTTGAGAAGACAGAGAAGGCCATGGAGATTCATCAAAACTGGGTTCTGCCTTCAGAACAGCTCGAAATATACCTGATTCTGTGCGGGCCCAAAAAGGTCGGCTTCCACATAGTAAAATATATGCAATGACACCAATACTCCACATGTCTGCCTCAGTTCCATAGGATCTATGAAGAACTTCTGGAGCAACATAATATGCACTCCCAACTATATCATTCAATCTCTCATCTGTAAGATCCATGACATTAACATTGTCAATTTACAAAGAAACATCTGGTAGAGAAAATTTATTAGGTCGCTGTAATAATTTTATCAGATCAACCTGGCTTGACAAAGTCTGACAAACCAAAATCTATGGCCTTCAACGTACACTTCTCATCCTCCGAGGTAAAAAGAAAGTTCTAAAGCAACATAACACAAACATGAGTCACCAAGATAGTAGAAGGAAAACCTGAATTTGAGAAACGGAGAGAGCTCAAATTTAAATAATAACAAATTCCTTAAATGGCCCTTCTCAAAATTAGACTTCTTAACATGAAAAATTTTTAAATCCAGTTTGAAGAAGCAACTACCTCTGGCTTGAGATCTCGATGAACAACACCCTGAAGATGACAGAATGATACGACACTCAAAATCTGAACAATGACAGTTTTTGCATCTTCTTCTGAATACTTCCCGCCCCTATAAAACAAAACATGATTATCACTGAAGTGTTTAATTCGAAGTCTAGTATAGAGATAGTTATAACACTGGCATCCTTAAAGGTAACTCACAGAAACAATTAAAGATACAATTACCTCGAAAGAATCCTTTCTAGTAATTCACCACCTTTGCATAATCTGTTGCAAACAAAGTCAATTTTGTGAGTTTAATTAATCAAACGCTCAGTTACTTTTTTAAACAATGAGCTGCATATAGTAGTTGAATCTATGCTCCTATGGATGTTCTTTGTAGTTAACCACTGAGTTTTACAATGTAATGTGGAATCATTGATCAAACACTCAGCTAGATTTTTAAACAATGAGCTGCATAAAGTAGTTGAATCTATTCTCCTTCTATGGATGTTCTTTGTAGTTAATCGCTGTTAATTTTATGATGTACTGTGGAATGCTGATATGTTATGATCACCAATGGAAGGTAAATTATCAAGTAATAGCCCCTATCTTACTTTAAATAAACTATGCTATTATGATCAACTTTAAAGATGAAAATGTTGATCTATATTATCACCTTGCAATTACTTTTACCATCAAACATAATCAAACTTTCATTAGCTAAATGCATAATTTTCTTCACTACAAATATTGGATAGTTGAACAATTATTAGGAACAACAAATTTAAGCCCACGCATAACTAACTAATTGACTGCCAGCTTATTGATCAAAGAAAAGAGTTATAATAACTTTGAGAAAATTGTAATAATGAAAATGCATGTATTTTCGTGTGTCACTGCCAAAATAAATAGCCTTAAGTTTCCACAACTAGATGAATAGCTTTGCCACAAGAAT